CGCCGTAATCTTAGACCGACAAGTTAAACACATTAGAACAACGCAACGACCCTGACAGCAGCTAGATCCACGTAGCTACAGCTAACTAGCACTTAACCGTCTCACTACCTTCACTCACAGCTGCATTGGAGATTAGCCTTAAAGCTTCTACTAGTATCCGTTCAAACATTGGCCATAATGGCTTTGTCAAGAAAATTAAACAAGAAAGAAACTCGAGGAAATTAATCCCTCAAAATGAGATTCTCAAGCACACCAACACTGTCACTAAAATTTGCTATATACTTTGCCATTTGATGAAGTCAGTCTGTGATTCAATGAGGTCAAGCTGATAATAGCGTGCAATCTGTTTCTGATAATACCAGAATAACTGTTCTAAATCGTCAAAAATCGGAAATGTGACTTTCTGTCTATTACATTTGGACTTTGCACCCTTCATGTTCTGTAGGAATATACCCAGAATACAACCAGCGGGCAACCAGTTGAGTCAAGGGTCTTCGAGTTGTGCTCATTGACAAAGACTCGTTCAGACTGATGGCAACATGGTGGAAATCTGTCTGCATCTATAAATTAGACAGCAATTATTTTCCAACCTTCAACAATCTTTCTGAGAGTGTCTGCATCAGTACAAGTACAAGCTGTTACAGTTTGCAGAAAGGTTGCCTCCTATCAGGCGAGAGGAGCCCTCTTGCTCATAGTATTACCACAGAATTTTTTCATTCATGTAAACAATCAATATCACGAACAAAGTGCCGCAGATCATGTAAATGTTCATAGTAACTGCATTTTCTATTTGATGCCATAACCTGCTGATGTATTTTGAGTTTTTAAAAACGGTTCGTTAAACTCACAACTGAACTCTGAACATCACACTGCTGGAATAAAAACTATTTATTGTTAAGTTATTTATATAAGCTCTCAAAGATTATTATCTAGACTAACTGATCAAAGCGTGTTTAAGATTGTACACAAACCGTTTTCATTAGTAAATATCTTTGCTTGGTAGCAATTTTTAGGAATATCATGATTTAATTTGTACTGCAGGTGAGCTGGCATAAGTAATGGATGGAGGGAATTTTATTCCAGTCACAGAAATCTGAAACAAGTAGGAGGAAATGAGTTCCACTCAGTCACAGCACATAAGGAAACAGAATGAATTTGATTTTATAGACTATGGGACAAATTTACAAAATTTATTTATTGTGGTGCTGCAGTTGCAGGGTGAATTACTAACAGTGTGCTATCATTTATTTACAAAGACTGAGCCAGTTCCCGTTAATAAAACCCATCAGGGATAACTCTTCTGATAGAATTCTCTGGGCGTGTACGAAGGATCCTAAAGACAGATTCAGGTGGAGCTCAGGCTCTATGCAGAGGAGAGCAACAGCTGAGCTGCACCGACATTACTGTCAGATCGCGAGCCGCCACTGTGACACGTGCCTGTTACTGTAAATGTGTGCATCCTTTTAATCTGGTCTTTAAGTGATGACGTACCCGAATCCTGCTTCCGGGCTCAAACTGCTCTGTGTTTAATAAGGCTGTTGTGTTTTTAACACATTAAAAAAATAAATCTTGTTTTATTTAATCTGAACAAGCCCCGGGAAATTTTTTTTTAAAAAAGGGCAGTGATCACTGTCGGCCTCTCACAGTTTTTATTACCACTATTTATTTTAAAGTTCAGTTTTTAAAACCTTACGATGTAACTACAGCCCAGCCCATGCAGCAGTATATGAATGACTAACCTCGTATTGTCGATGGATTCATTTTGCAGAAATCTCTCAGTCAGAACATGGTATATATTATGCTTTGGTGGAAACTAGCGAGCTAACTCTCTGCTAACTTCTAACTCCATTAAATTTCACAAATTCTGTTTTGGTGGATGCCTGGATGTTAAACTTAATTGTCACACCTGGTAAAGCAGCCACGCTGATCATTTTATTACAGATGAAAGAATTTAGACAGTTTGTAACTCTCAGTGATGCAGTTTTCATTTGACTTTGGGCCCGGAAACGGCTAATGACGTCCGACTTAAAGACCGGCTAGCACATTGCAACATTCAGGCAACTCATAACGTTCAAACTGACACCGAGTTTCATCAACAACCCCTCTCACATTGTTCAACCCGCATTTCAATGGCTTCCCTCAGGGCAACGCCTCCGCTGCATTTCCTGCAGGACTGAGAGGAGGAGAGCCACCTTTGTCCCCAAAGCCACTGTGCTTTTTAACTCCAGCAGTTAAGACCATTTCCCACACCCATAAACATAAACTACACTCTTCTTATACTACTGACACTTTATTCTTTTAGTCACTTAGTTATTTATTCACCTTTCAGTCACTTTAATTTTAAAAATGTGTAATTTTAAAACTGTATATGCTGTATATTCTTTGTATTTATTATTTCACTCCTATTGCCTGTTCTTATTGTCCTTATCTTCAACGTTATGCTGCTCTGTTGTTTGTTAATTGCCCCTCGGGCATAAATAAAGTCTTCTGATTCTGAGTATATCCAGCAGCTTGTTAACGTCAAACAAGTCTGTGTGCTGCTGCATTTGTCAGTGAACCTTCCGTTTACTTTAAAAGTTCAAACCGTATTTTTCACACGAACATTTTCTCGTTGTTTGCTGTTGTAGTTTTAACACGGTGGACATCCAACGTCACACTGTTAAAGACTCTGACCGTTCAGTGTCAGAGCAACGCTCTTCGCTTTTCTTAGCTCCTTATCAATCACCCCACCCTTCCTTCCTTCCTTGTCTAAAAAAAATGACGTTTTTATCGACGTTAAAAAAAAAACAGCCGTTAGGAAAAGCACCCACAGTCCGTCGTGCTGCCACGGCCTGCTAGCTGCACTGTGGGGGAGGATTAGCATGAGTAACTCAGTAACATGAGGAGGTTTTATGCTTAAGACAACCATTATAACTAAAGTGATACACAACAGGCTAGCACAGGAAGACTAAAAAAGTCTTTAAACATGTTTGTCAGCCACGTGATCAAAATTACAACTATAAAAAATCAGTTTGTGCAGTAAATAAGTTTTAACACGTCAATGGCCTGTTCAGAAACAGAAAATACGGCAAAAAGATTGATATATGCTTATAAATGGCTTCTCCCCTAACAGATTACCACTATATAATTAGAGCACTAAAGAAGGAACACTTTTAATTCAAGGCCACAACTTATTTCAAACACTTTAAGCATTAAAACTGTACAAATCCTTCAAATGTAACTCAGGACGAGGACAAAGGTGACCGATGGTAAACGAGCACTAACGGCAGAGCTGCCGCCATCTTGGTGTTCAGTAAAGATTCGAATTCAAAACCAGGCCTTAAACACAAGCTCGTTTTTACTGTGTGTATGTGTATGATAAATACATATATAATTTCTTCTTGTACTTATACCAACGTGTATTAGCTTAAAAAGTACAGCATTTCCTCTGTGACTTATCAGAGAGCAACACATATTTGGAAGTAGAGTCAGCACAGACGGTAGGTGCGGGTTTGTCTCCGCCTAATAATTACTGAAATATATTTCTAATAAAGGAGAAGCAGGCGGACCTGCTGCTTATAATTTCTAGAAATATCACGTTTGTTTGGACCATGTTGACGATGAACGAAAACGGACTAAATAAAAGACGAATCCAGGGAACAGGGTGTCTGCCTCGGATTATTATGCGTTTTCCGCACAGACCGCTCCGTGATCGCCACTGCAACAAACGATCTAATGCTAACGCCGAGCTTCTAATAACTTTCTAATACATGCATTTCATATGTGTATAAAAGAATAGATGTTAAACTTACAGAAGGCACACGGTAAATCCACCGTGGACTGTCCATCTGAGCCTGCATTGCATCGGCGAAAACTGCGACGTACGCGAGTATTTGTCTAGGGCAGTCCAAGCTCGTGTTCTGCGTCTGCGTCATTCCCCATCCCTGTTGTAAAGTGGGTGGAGAAGGTGACGTGGTTTTTCAATGCTTTGAGCAAAACTTGACTTTTGACATTTGTCCCCTTTACACTTTATTTACATATTTACAAATCTGAATATTACACGCGGGTGTCCGCGCACACTCGCGCACATTGAATTGGAACAGCCTGGTTGCTTCATTCAATTCATTAAAAATCATTGTTGATACTTGAGGTGAAAATTTCAACTATTACTCTTCTGGGCCACCTACTGTACGAGGGACAATTTTCACCAAAAAAAACTGCTTCCATACTCCCCAAAAATTAAAGGACGAGTCTGCTCACACTCAAAAACTTTAAATTTCAGGACTGTGAAGGCGTCATGTTAAAAATATTGCAATGGATGGAGCTGAAACGTTGCAGACATGTAGTGTGAGTTGTAAAGAAGATGAATTTGTCATCAAAGAATTTTTTCTTTGTAAAGTTTTGTTGAACTTGAGTAGAAATGTCCTTTAATTTCTCTGTAATCTCGCAGCGTTTTGTGATGAAAGTTGGCACACATGTAGAAAAGGTGACCGAGAGCAGTATTCAACTCACAATTTCATGTCAACAATCACAGATGATTTTTCTTTATTTTTTATGTGATGTTATAATTGAATGTGCATGTTGGATTTGCTTCAGTTTCTGCAGAATTATGCAGTGGATTGAGATGAAACTGTGCACACATATAGTGTGGGTGTCGAAGAAGAGGAATCCGAATTCAAGTCAACAATCAAGAAAGATTTTTAATGAATTTTGAATGTGATGTGATTGTATTGAATTGACTATGTTAAACTGGAGCACAATCCTCTAACTTTTGTGGAATATTGGAGCCGATAGAGATGAAACTTGTCCCAGAGGACGAATGTGGTTGAAGGTTCATGTTAAATTCAGTAAAAATCAAGACAGATTTTTATTGATTTTTTTTAAAATATATGATGCAACCAGGCTATCTTAATGCAATATGTGCGAGTGTATGTTTTAGATCAGGAATGAAGTAGAACAGGCACCGCCGTAAAGTCTAGTGTAGAAGTGCAAGAAAATTTATGCAGTGGATAAGAGGCGGCTGTCTTCACGGCGACTCACAGTTGGCTGCTTGCATTTGATTTAGCCACCATAAACCAGGACCAGAGAGAGACCTCTCACTCTGATTGACTGTTGTAGAAGTGAACAGTTGTCCTCTGACCTTTAACCTCTCTGCTCTGTGTTGTTTTGTCTTTCAGGCCAGGAAAACATCACAGCTGAGTCTGAACAGAACATCACTCTGACATGTCGAGCTATAAACAGCAACAACATCACAGTGGTGGAGTGGAGAAGACTTGACCTGGGAGATGAATATGTCCTTGTGTACCGGGATGAGCAGTTTGATCCAGAAGAGCAGCATCCATCTTTTGTGAACCGGGTGGATCTGCAGGACAGACAGATGAAGGATGGAGACGCGTCTCTGATTCTGAAGAATGTGACGATTAATGACACTGGAACATACGAGTGTCGTATCTTTGTAAGAAAAACACGATCATGGAAGTCCATCAGCATCATCAACCTTCATGTTGATCCTCCAGGTGAGTGAGTAGAGTTGAGTGTGTGTGTGATCAGAGGTGAAGCTGCTTCCTGGCTGTTGATGTTTGTTTCTAAAGATGTTGTTGATGAGACTTTGTAGAAAGCAGCTGGTCTGAGTGATGTGATCAGAGTGCAGTAGATAATGTCTGACAGCAGTTTGAAGAGGAAATGGATTCTGTTCTGTTCTTCACTCATCACCTACCTGACAGCTGACACCTCACACCTGTTTCTCACCTGCAGGTAAACCAGGAGGAGACATGGAGGATGGAGGGAAGGAGGCTGGATCTGTTGGACTAAAAGTTGGTCTTCCAGTTGCTGTTGTTTTTGTTGTTGCTGCTGTTGTTGGTGTCGTGATCTACAGAAAATGTAAACAACAGAAGCAGGGTTCTTTCCAGCCTCCAGCTGAACAGCAGCATGTTTGTAATGTTTCTGTTTTTTTCCGGATGATCTGAGACTCCCGCTGTTACAGAGGTGACACTGAGCATTCAGGGTGAAGCCATTTGTGGTTTTTCAATCATGTAAGTGAAACAGGAGAAAACTGAAATGTCACACATGCCATCAAGAAGTGGCAAAAAAGATTTTTAATTTGAATCCAGGAAACCTTTTCAGGTTTTATCTTTAAACGTCCATTGTAGAGTTGGTTTTTATGGGTAATAGAAAAATAGTTCAGTAAGTTTAGTCTTGTAAAAGTCTAAACTTATAAAACAAATGGAAATCAGGTTACTAACATCAAACATGTTCTGTTTGTACTGTGAGCTGTAGCTGCTACTTCCTGCTCTCGACCTCCTGCTGAGCTAACGTCTCTTTAACTTTACTTTTAATATCAAACTACCTGCTGCTTGACTTTAAACAGATAAAACACTCATGTTTATATCACAGAAGCTTTTAATATTTACTATATTCAGCTGTAAGCACTGCACACACTTCTTAACTTTGTTATTGCACACTAGTTTATATATTTATTTCTATAAGTAGGAATGTTGTTTCTTTTTCTTTCTGCCTTAATAAAAACTTTCTGACTTGTCCAATCAGTTCGTGCAGATTTCAGGGACTTTCTGATTAAAATGTTTTACTGTAAAAGTGCCTTCAGGTGGTTGTTGTTGTTTCCTGGTGCTTCATGGATAGACTCAATTTTTCTTTTAAATTAGCTTCAATCAAATGACCATAACCTTCCACCAGGGGCACTTTAACCTACACAGACCTGTCTGTAACCCATTTACTGTCAGTTTTCTTATGGAAATTACTTCACCTGTATGCTTAGAAGACACTCGAACACATTGTACAGTAAGAGTTTATTGGTGCTGTTATTTACTTTTACATGGAAAAATGTTTCTATTTAAAATATGAATTCATGTGACAAATCCATCTGTAGATGAACGCATTAAAATACATTTTTCTTCATGTGGTCGTCTGCTCTGAGTCACTTTATAAATCTGCATCATTTCATTTCACTCTCATCACTCTTACTGTATGAAAACGTGCTGTGAGCACTTTAGTTTTGACTCTCAGCTCTACCAGTCTGAAGTCATTTACTTCACTGATGAACTTTCTGAAAACAGTCGTCTGTCTGCAGATTCTCTCAGACTGGATGAAGACAGATGTCACAGATGTTCTCTTTATTGCTCCTGACAGATCATCAGACACCAAACTGCACAGTAACTAAGACTCATGTGTGAAAGTGTTCCTGCTGCTTTACGTCTGTGGCTCACATGAACTTTGTTATCTGCTCTGAAGGTGACTGAAGTGGGTTTGTGTTCACCACAACAACTCACGTTTTCCATCAGACATCTTTGTGAAACCCACAGAAGCACACGAGAAGATCAAGTGAGACCAAAGTTTATTGAACCTGCAGAGAAACCAGATCACTGCTGTGGAGACGACAGCACACTTAGAAATAACATAAATAACAGCAAAGTTACTGAAGACATGAAACTTGGATTACATCTACTTTTTAGTTACATAACATTTATTATTGTTGATGTATAAATGTTGTCTTGGTCATGCTTTTATTCTGAAAGGCCTGTTTTCTCGAGCTTCTTAATAAAAGAAAAAAATAATAAAAACTCTCCACTTGAACTTTCTGGCCTCAGTGGTTGTGTGAGGTTTCCTTCATGAGGAGAACAAACAGAATATAAACCAGTGTGTTTACAGTGAATGTGTCAGGTCTGAGCTGCTGTGTGGACCAGTTAGAGAGCAGCAGCTGGATCCCAGTGGTTGGACTGGTGGACGACTTCAGTGAGGACTCGATGACATTTGGCTCTGGTAGAAACTCTGCACACACAAACACACAGGAGGAGAATAGAAGCACAAATTATTTGTTTTGGCTCTAATTAGTAAACACAGAGTCAGTCTATAACACTAGCAATGTGTTAAAATTCTATGAGCCTCTCTGTTCTGTTTATATACAGCAAATTTATGAAAGACAAACTGATTTCAAAATAAAAGTCTAAAATCTGTGAGTGGACACTTCATGTTTTCCTGTTGCTAATTCATCACATAAAGATCAACATGTTCACACAGTCTGCATGAATGAATGTACTGATGGAGTCAGACTTATTTATTTCCATCATATTAATTTAAACTGGTCAGCTCCATCGTTTCATAGTTTTGATGCATTTTCACAGTTTGGATGAAGTAACTGAACTTTTCTGCTGATGCATTTGTAGTAAATGACAAAGTTTAAGATCAAAACATCCACAGAGACGTGCAGCTTTGTGTCTGACACTTTTTAACCACAAGATTAAAAACATAAAATCATGAAACAGACTGTCTCCTGACACTTCCTGCAGAGTGACGATGAGGAAAATCCCTCCATCCTCACACAGTTTATATACAAAGAGGAAGCTGCTCGTGTGATGTCTTTCCTCTTCCTTATACTTTTACTTCAGTCTCAGTATTGCTGTAGAGTATTCCTCGATTATCACGGGGCAGTGGCAGATCCAGACCAAACTAACCGCAGGCTAATATCTAAAGAGGGCAATATTTGAATGTTTAATATATTAAAGTTAAGTTATTTTCACTCATTTATTATAAAGATCACAATGTTTAAAATCCACGTCTGACATATTTGGTGGCCTGAAACAGGCAGAGTCCATAATTACAGAGAATCCAACGATGACTTTCATACCAGCTTTGATGGAAGCTGCGTCTCCTGTCCCCCATTAATGTGACTGGAAATGTCCTCAAACTGGGCAGCACTGGTGGATCATCTTTGTACGTCTGATAAGAGATGAATGCAGAGTAAACATGAGGCTGTAACTGAGGACAATAACTGATCAGTGTTAACTTCTTACTTTATTCTGTCATTATTGTTCATTACTGTCAGTTACAATGACTGTATGAATTGTAATGACGCGACACTCTCAGACACACAGGTCTGTTCAACATCACAAACCGCTGGTTGTCCCTCTTCCTCTCCCTCACAGCTCGTCTTCCTCCTCACTCTCAGGACTGTCCCTCTACTGCATCCTCTCCAACTAACTCCTCTGTCTCTCTGTCATCCTGCTCCTCATCATCTCCATCCTCTCTCTCTACATCGTTCTTTGTTAACAGGCTTAAAAAGGATGTAATGTTTGTTTTTTCTTTTCATCATGACTGATGTTGTTCCCAGCGCTGTGAGAAAGCAGATACTGAAAACTGTGATCCAATCTCAATATGGCTGAAACTAAAAGTGCAAAACCTTATTTTTTTAATTTATTGTTAAACTATAATTATGAAGGGAAAAATGTAATCGGTTCCAAACACTGTAGCAGGGGATTTGGTGCCAAACCATATGTTCATTTATTTATTTATTTTTATACTTTTTTATACAAGCCGTAAAAACTCTTCCGCGGTAATACAGGTATAATGTTAGGCAATGACAAGAAAATGAAATATCCCAAGAACCATGGCGGTAATGGAGAATAAGAAGTGTGAAAGTGGATCGTTTGAATGAAACAGATGAACCAGAATCGGTTTGTAAAAATGGTGCAACTTCAGTGATGTGGAACTGGTTTCGTTTTCCTCCGTCAGATACACAACAAAGCACTATTTTTTGTAGAACATGCAACCTATTTCATCATTTGAAGCAGAAGCACTTGTTGGAGTACAACAAAGAGACCAAAGATGCTGACTCAACAAACAATCGGCACAGCTTTAAATAGCTGCACGTGTCAATTATATCGTCAGTTATATTGTTATCACAAATTTTCAAATATAGAAATATTGCTAAATATTTTTGGCCATATTGCCCAGCCCTGCTGTCTAGTATAAACACCCTTTAAACAACATATCCCCAAAAGTTGATTCTCTTCATCTGTACGTAGCGTTTTTAGTGGGTCATGAAAATGGCCTTAAACAAATCTCCAGGGACAGATGGAGTCACTGCCAATTTCTATCAGTTGTTCTGGAAGGACCTAAGAACCTTGCTGTTCGAAACGATAAAAGAAGCTATAGAAAAGAAAGAAGTGCAAAGTATGAAACAAGGGTTAATTACCCTGATTCCTCAATCAGGTAAAGACAAAAGAAGTTTAGACACTTTAAGACCAATCACCTTACTAAACATTGATTATAAGACCCTGTGAGGGGCTGTAGCTGAGAGGCTGAAGAAGGCATCTCAAACATCATCAGTGAAACAAAGTCAGGGTTTTTGAAAGGAAGGTTTTGGACATCCTGGACTACAGTGAAATAATCCAACAGAGTTTTTTTTTT